AGATAGATAGATAGATAGATAGATAGATAGATAGATAGATAGATAGAAAGAAGGCTTCAAGGATTCATGGTTATTTATTTGTCATACAGACCACATGTGGTACATGTGGTAGAACAAAACTGTGTACACAGGGTCCCAGTTACATCCAACAAAAGTATACAATGTAAAAGAAAAATAGTAATAAAATCTAAGATACAGTATGAACTAAGAAAAAGTTAAAATAAAAATATACTAAGAACTAGTAGTATAAAAACAATATGCCAAACAGCAGCACAAACATGAGTCTGTGTGAGCCGATGAGCACAAATGAACACAGCAACATGAAACAGATCAGCAGCAACATGAAACAGATCAGCAGCAACATGATGTGATTTATTCACAGTGATTATTCTGGTTAGAGATTCATGAGTCTAACAGCCTCAGGGTAGAAGCTGTTCCTCAGTCTAGTGGTTCTACACTTAATGCTCCTTAACATCCTGCATGAGGGGAACGGGGCAAGAAGTGTGTGTGCTTGGTGGGTGGGGTCCTTCATGATGCAGGTGGCCCTCTTCCTGCATCTGGAGGTGTAGATGTCTGTGATGGTGGGGAGGCTGACTCCATACACACACACACACACACACTCACGCACGCACGCACGCACACACAGCTTTGTTTTGCTATCTTTATGGGGCCTTTGCATTGACTTCCATTCATTTTTCATTCATTTCTATAGCCTAACCATGACCTTTATGCATAACCTAACCATTACCAGTACATACCTAACCCTAAACCTAACACATCCTCAATTCACACCTTAGTCCTAAACCTAGCCCCTAACCCACCAACGGGACTTCTTCTTATGGGGCCCGGGCTTTGGGCCCCATAAGGAGCAGTTGGTCCTCACAATGCAGTATAAGTTGGAAAAATGGACCTCACAAAGTAGCATAAACAAGAACACACACACACACGAATATATATATATTCAATTAAAAAAACTGTTTTTCCACAGAGTTAGGGTTATCTTATAAACAACTTATATAAGAAAAACTTCAAAAATGGCAACGTGTGCATCAAAGCTTTTTAAAGCTATTTATGCAATTTATTTTCTGTGTATATTTATAGTCTGAATTTAATTATCAGAGCAGCAGCTAATTAGGGATGTGGAAGGCAACGAGTGTTCTCCGACCACTTCCCGCACATCTGTGAGGGCACCACACATTCAGCAAAATGCTTTCTTTCCTAAACAGGATCCAGGTTTTGAAGTAAATGCTGTGTGCAGGTATTTCTGTCCCTATTTAAAGCAGTTATTGATTACTGAGTCTTAGAAACTCTGGGAAAGTACTTTGCCAGCATTCTAACCCAGTACAATGGCCACCACAACCCTCTCCCTGAAACACTAATTTCCAAACAAACACAAAAATAAAAAAGAACACAATCCAAACAACAGTCCCTCGAGTGTCAGCCAAGTGCTGTGCTCTGCAGCTATTCTTGTGAATATTAGGTTTGTTTCAAGCAAACAATCTCTGCCAATAAATCATTATACAGTCACCTTGAACTGCATTAAAGGTGTGCATTACCTAAAAGAAGAATTTCCCACAGTCATAATGGAGTAGTAAAAGCTTGCACACCTTACACTTTGTTGACTGCAGTGAAAGCTGAATTCGGTGAACTATAATGGTTTAATTTTTCAGCAAAGTTGTGGATTTTTTTATTCTTTTTTTTTTTTTAAAAACTAGCAGTATGTAATTTCAGCACATGAACTTTAATTTAACAACAGAAAATGTAAAAAATGTTTTGGTTTTTTAATGCACACCTAAAATATTCTCAAGTAGAAACTTTGTTCTTGCATGGCCACTCAACACTTTGAATGACTTCACCTGGTGTTAATGATTGCTTATACACATTTATATACATA